GCGCTTTCTGCAGGGCTGGGAAGGTCATGCCTGAGATGAGTACGCTAGTGGGACTCAGTTTATAAAAAGTACAACACACTGCAGTATGACTACTGCCGGTGGGATCTAGGGTGGCCAAAAATGCATGCAAGCTTGGCCTTGACCTGTCGAAACTAGTAAAGAGGCTGTTTCTGAACCACTTAATCCCTTCTAATGCCATCATAGATACCCAATTGGCCATACTAGGCAATAAAACTGTAACCCATGGGCTATACTATGAATTGCAAATAAAATCCATCATAAAGGATAAAGGCTAGACACCATCTTCAAGTTACCTCCAATAATTGTTGGTACCAAGACAACCTGGAAAGTGCTCAGAGCCAGACCCTAGAAAGAAGAAACAATCGATAAATTTTCTCAGTGGACAAATACCGACAATTAGCATGCACACATACATACAACATTCATAAACCTCAGGCTCCTCATATATGGGAGTTACCAGCTTGAGAATCGCTAACTCTCCTCTCTGGCCTCTCAAAATCTACCCTCAACAAATCAATAAACTCTATCTTTCAGTGATACAGCTACATTAACAATCCATTAATTTTCTCTCAGTGATAACTACATAATCAATGTAAATAAAGAGAAATGGTAGAACTATAAAATTGGAGGCAGTAATTTGTAAATCCTTTCTTTTTGTCTTGTCTGTCTATCCCCTGTTTTCTTTTCTCTTTATATATCATTTTTGTCTCTGTTTCCTTACTCTTTCGATTTGCCAATAGGTTAACTTAGCCCCTTCCATTTAGTACAGATTCTCACACCCATAACAATACCAAAATCTTTTTAAATCGAATAGCTGTGATTGACAAACAACCATTTTATGATTTAAGAATGAGTGGACTCACAGCTGCATCAACAGGGACCAGTTGGCCAGCTAGAAGCTTAGTGAGAAGTGGAGTCATAATGATAGCTCCAATGGTTGAACACCTATAATTATCACAATATTAAAATAATTAAATAAAGAATAAGAAAATAAAAGGATATTTTTCTTTAAAAAATAAGAATCTCACTACAAGTTCATGGTGTATAAGTATGATATCATAAACCAACAAAGTCACTGGGTGTCAACATAATTTACAGGTATTATAAGTAACACTTAACCAAATGCAGACTCAACTTATGTCCTAAAGCTTATTCATAATACAGGTTTATCCCACAGATCTTTCTCAAGCTCAAAAGATTCCCCTCAGCTATAGCAAAACAAGTCACATTAACAAACTGAACTTACGTTGTCATAAGAACTGAGAGTGCAACATTTCCTTTTGATATATAGGTTGCAACATTTGATGCCTGGCCTCCAGGGCAGCATGAAACAAGAATCAAACCAGTAGCAAGAGGTGCGGACAATTTCAGAGTCTGCAAGATCAATGACAATCAGTGAAAGTAGCTTACATTGTGTTTATTAAACCAATATCTTAAACAAATAAACTCTATAAATCTTACAAAACAGACTCACTATTAGGAAGGAAAGAGAACAGTATAAATAATATACGAAGTATATAAAACCCTGAGGTTCCAATAATTTTCATCAACCAAAATCACTTCATATAAAGAGGTTTCACAAACATTGAGTAGGTATTTTAAAAACGACATAATTGATAGATACCACAATAACTTGACATAAACAATGAACTGCAGTAGGGAACACCTGCCAAAAGACAGAACTCATTGCAAGAAGCTATTTGCAAATTCGTACAGAACTCATTCAACAGTTAGTAACATGTATACACCTAGTAAAATCGCTATCATATTTCGATTTCATTTCATCTAAAAGCAGATTCATTTATCATAATACACCATCCTTAGAAAGTGAGTTTATAAAGCCTAAGAAGGACATCAGGTATTTGGAATGTGGATCAAGACATACCAATGCAATTAAGAACCCTAGCAAAGGCTTGACCATATATTGTGCTAAGAAACCAACTCCAACCTGAGGAGGAAACATAAAACAATTCACTTGGAAAGGTTACCGCCTTTTACATCCTAAAAGTAATTATAGAAGCTTGAATGGACTGAAAATTATTCTTACAGTCCATGGATTCCGCAAACACCGTTTAAAATCATCAAATGTTAAAGTCAATCCCATTGAAAGCATGAGGAAACCCAAACCAAGAGTAAAAAGATCTGTTTCTAACCAAGTTACCTGCAGGAGAAACTCCATAAAGGTCACTATACAAAAATATACTTCACTATAATAATTACATTTATGCCTTTCCATAAAGTAGCACAAGACAGTGAATTTAACAAGTTTACCGCAGAAGGTTTATAAATGCCAATAATTGTTCCCAGTATGACCTGCGTAATAGATTGCACAACCACAGTTAAAATTTGATCAATTTAGCATCATTTTTTTTGCAACAAATTAATTAGACACATAGTTACTATACACTCAATAAGACATACCCAAACAGGAAACAAAGTTGTCAAGGCCTCGATAATCTTCTCATACTGACTCATTTCCTTTGAGACATTGCTGGGAACATCTCCAGAATAGTCTGTTGCTGCCTTGCAGAGAAATAAGCTCCTAAATCTGCAGCCAACCAACTGTCATTACATTAGCATGTGCAAGGAAAGAACACTCAAATTCAAGGCCAGTCCATAGCCTGCCATTCCACAAATTTTAACCTTCAGCAAGTGTATGATACTGAACTAGAGCCTTGACGTAAACACTATGGAGATACTTCCCTGCCGTTTCTAAAAGTTCTTGTTTTAAATATTCTTGTGAGACAATTACCATCCAAAAAAAAAACTTTTACACAGGGAGTTTATTTGCCTGATAGATCCAATTCACATCTTCAAGATAAATTAAAATGCAGCAAAAAAAAAAATTTGAAAAAAATAAAAGTTGATAATTGCCTTTTTTGAATACACTTAATACATCTATCAGTAAATTTCTATTTTTTTGGAACATGAAGCAAATCAATGTCCCCAACAATAACAATCAACACCTTCAATCATTTAACCTCATTAAAACTTACGCCAAAACCATTTTTCAATAGGTTAGTAATATGCAATCCATAATCAATCTCATATACAAACTCCTTTCCTCCCTCAAACAACATCATGTCATCCTATAAGATCCACATTCCAAAAACAAAGGACATTGCAAGCTCAAAAAACTAAGGTTCCGAACAACGACCTCCGAAAACAGGACAATATCTTACAATGACTGATTAACATATAAGGTTAGTTGCACAACAAATAGTCAAAATTTACAATCCTCAAATCATAGTCCCCTTCTATTTTATTTCTTTATCATCAAAGCTTACATAATTTTCACAACATAGAACTGATAGAAGCATACCTTGAAGGTTGAACAACAATAGGACTCAGTGACTTCTTCTGGGTAGTAGCAAGACAAGTCATTTGAGTTTCAAGTGAAGATAATTCATGTCTGAAATCTGTTATCAAAACAACTCAAATTACACTATATTACAACATAATATAATCATAACTTGCAAAATTCCAAAGCAAATAAGAACAGCCCAATACTAATAAAATGAAGCAAGACATTTTCCAGAAATCTGATAAGAAAAATACAAATCAAACATACCCAAATGAGATTGGACAATTCTTGAAGAAAAACTAGAATTGGGTCTGTAATAAAAAGCATCATTAAGCTGAAAATTACAGTCTTTTAACACACATCTTGACATAGACGCCATTGAAATGATTCAAATTTTCTCAGAGATAAGAAAAAATCCAAATAAATACAAGCAAGATTATGGGGTTTTAGAGGGGAGGTTTAGGGTATCATGCTATTTTTGCCCAGTTGGGAAATAATTGGTGGGGTAAAGAGAGTTGCAAAATGTTAAAAATGGGAGATTTTTTAGATAAGGAGGCTTAAAGTCAGCCGAAAATTACAACTTGACTATCAAGATCAGAGACAGAAAGGCTTATGAGGTTATGGGGTCGTTTTAGATTTGAATGGTAACACAATTTGCATGAAATTAATGGAACTTGAGAAAGTGAAACTTCTTCTTGGTATGCTAAAATCACTATATTTGATCTAACAAAGGCCTAACAAAAACAAGAGGCGATTTATAAAATGACAATTTTTTGCGAATACATGAACTTTTGATTATTGACACAAACTTAATGTTACCGTGTAGCATTATAAAGAAAAAAGGATGAATTGACTATCTTAATCTATGCTCGTAAATGCTAGTTGATTATACAAGAGTATTGTGATTCACAAAAACTATAAAGAGACATATTGTGTGATGCTCGTAAATGTGTGTTCATCAATCCATACCATCAAAATTTTATATGTGTTGTACGTGATTTTACTTGAGATGAAAAGGTGATCTGGCTTTTTTGTTTTTTTTTTAAAAAAATAATTATTTATTCTGTGAAATCAATATATAGTAAACTTTTTGATCTTCAAAGTCTTCACCTAATGTTTGACAATTTTTTAGCAAGCCTCATATTTTGTGCATTTAGGCTCACACCGAATGATACCTGACATTAAAGTGTATTCTATAAATAGCTTATCTGATTTATTTGATAGTCAATTCTTATTTGGTCTAATTCTATAAATGTATGTTTGTATTTATTCTACATGTTTCAAATTCTTCTATTGCATCTGATTCAATCTTAATTACTCTATCCGATCACATGTTTTCTCGGAGCCACTCAAATTTAGATATTCCTTTCTTAAGCTTCAACCGACTTAATTTACCTACTCCACACAATTCTTCCAATCATGCCTCCTCTACGAATCAAACATAGCCTCACTCAAGATCTAATCAGTTGATTAACATGTCGAGTCAAAACATGCTCACAATGTGTTGTCTCAAAAAAATTTAGACACCTCAAAAACACTACACCACACAATTGACTGAGTACACCATAATGAGCCCATATGATACCCAAAACAATAGCCCATTTCTTTCTCTTTCATTTCACTGAAAATATCTCAAATCTTTTTTTTTTTTTTTTTTTTCTTCCAGGTTTTTTCATAAATATAAAACCATAAATAACTCCACTCCACCTACTGACGCAATCCTCTCCTCTCTCTATCTTCTTCCTCCAACCTCTGTAAACCCTAATTCTCTATCCTCCCTAAAATCTTCCTCCATTTTTTTTTCTTCAAGATCCGTTAATGGCGGAAGAAGATGCTGTTGCTGTGCTCTCTGAAGCTCCTATCGATCACCACCACAAACGTAAGCTCGAAGATATGGAGGAACCTTCTCTTGACGAAGCGGCGCCTGATTCTACTGCCGAGCTTGATGGCGAACACAACGAGATTGTTGACGCTGAAAATGGCGGCGAAGAACCTGCTAAACGCCTTCGTTTGGATGAACAACCTGATTCTTTAGGTTTGCTTTTTTTTCTCTCTCTCCTCCTTTTTCCTTATTGATTTGTTTTTCGTGCTGAGGAGTTTTATTTGATGTGTAATTTTGACATTGATGATGATGATTGGCAGATTTTTTAGGTTTGATTATTGTAAAGAGTATTGTTTGAAAAATTGCTGGATTTTGCTTTTTATTGATGTTTTTGTAGGAAATGAATTTAATCAATGTTATTCTGTGCTGAGTTTGAGTTAATTTGATGATGTTATTAGAATTTATAGTATGTAATATGCTCATTTATTTTGGAATTGATGTTTTTGACATTGATGTCTTTTACGTTGTACGGGAAATACAGCAAGTGAGAACGGACACAAGCCGGAGGAGGAGAATGGGAATGCTGTGGTTGATGCTGAAACCGAGGTGGCTGTTGAGAGCACTAAAGCGGCTGTTGATGATCAGGAAGGTGGCGAGGAAGGCGCTAAAGAGGTGGTTCCTGAAGAGATTACTGAAACGGAACCTGTGGTTGCTGAGGGTGAGGAGAAAGTTGATGCCAAAGATGGTGATTCGGAAGAGAAGGATGCTGAGATACCTTCATCTGAGAATGTTCCGCTGGAAGGTGGGGAAACGAATGCCACTGAAGGTGCAGAACAAGGTGATGTTGCGACTGAGCAACAATATCCTGATTCTGGTAATAAAAGCATGACTCGGAGGATTGAGATTCCGAATAATAAGGTGAATTTGAGTTGCTTTTCTTTGTAGCGTTTATTGCTTACTCCATATTATTTGACTGGAATGAGTGATCTTGTTTTAGTATTACTGGAATGAGGTTAGTCAGTATTTCTTAATTTTACCTAAAAGAGTATTCAACTTTGGTAGGAGTGATTTAGAGCAGTTAATTTGGTGATGAATTTCAATTATGATTCTGCAATGTTTCAGGTTGGAGTTCTTATTGGAAAGTCTGGAGATACAATAAAGTATCTACAGCTGAATTCAGGGGCCAAAATTCAAATCACAAGAGATGCAGAAGCTGATCCGCGATCTGCAACTAGGCCGGTTGAACTTGAAGGGACACTTCAAAGTTTAAACAAGGCCGAGAGTCTGATAAAGGATGTTATAGCAGAGGTATGGTCGTTGCAAAGATTATTATGATTTCTTTTGTTTGAGTTTTTATTTTCTTATTTTATTTTTTATTTTTATTTTTTATTGCTGCCATGTTTTTCTAGTTGTGTTGTTTGCTGACTACGTAAACCTAGTTGCCAACCAAGGTCTTCTCCCTCCATGTCCTCTAATCAAGTGCTACATCCCTTGGTGATAGTATGTAATATATTATTAATTTTTCTAAACTCAGAAAAATTGTTGAATATGTACGAAGGTGAATTGTTTGATTATAAATAAAATTATAATTGATGATTAGTTGTGAATGTGATTTTAATTTTTTTTTTTTTGTATCTTTTAGAATTTAGATACAATATATTATAGGTGGTTTGATTTAGATAGATACCATATAGCATTAAAATGGAGTATAGATTAGAGTTTAAGTTCTTTACGTGTCAAATAAAAAAGTTGTGGGTTCAAGTTTTTGTAGACTCATTTTTATCATAGGAAGTGATTACTGAAGTTACATCATCAAGGATGCAGAGCCTTGTCATCTTTAGAGAGGGATGACATGATCACGTAGAATTTCCTTGTTTTGCGGTTTAGGAATAGCATAGATTGAACTTGGAAGCCCATGTAATTAATTGTAGTTACCTGAACTGATGCAATTTTTTCCTGACATTTGAAGATGAAAATAACAAGGCCTTATATTTGTTTTTAGAGGTTGTATTGATCAATTTAGTTTTTTAAATGAAAATCATGGTAAAAGACTCTGTAATCTAGCAGTTTCAGTTTGTTTGAGCTTAAAATTGTAACTGTAGAAAGTTGCATTTAGTCATGATAATGCACCTACACTGCCATTACGATATTCAAAGAAGCCCCGTTTTTAGGCTGGATAAGGGATGTTGGTATTGGCTTTAAGATGATATGTGATGACCACTGACTGCTGTCCTATAAAGTAGTAGCTGAGACAATTTCACAAGGCTGTTTAAATTCAGTCCTTCTAAAGCCAGAGAATGGTTGGTCCTCACCTGTTGGAAATTGACAATAAATGAAAGTTTAAGACTACTTGTAGTGCGTGCGTGTGTCTAATTGCTATGGGTCTTCTTTATGCGCTCCCTCTCGTATTTGTAGTTTTTATTTTTTTTATTATTTATTATTTATTTATTTTTATTTAAACTCTATATTTTATTTTTTTTGCAGGCTGACGCTGGAGGCTCACCATCCCTTGTGGCTAGAGGTTTTACTGCTGCTATTACTTCTGGATCATTAGAAATTGAGATACCTGTTCCCGCTGACAAAGTAATTTAAGCTTTACACTTTCTATTTTTTCCGTGTAGTTATTCACTGGTAACTACTTTAAGATGAATAATCTATGTAAAAAATATTCAATTTTGAGTAGTCGAAAGCTAAGATTGGGAAATGATAGCCTGTGAAATCTATGTAAATATCAAAATGTGATAACTCTAGTTTGATAAGCCTACCTGAAATTAAACTAAAAAGCTAGCATATTGTAATTGAACTCTAAAAAATCTTTGAAATTTTCTCGTGTTAAACTGTCTCAAGTCTGCTAAGATTCTTGCTTTCTAATTGAATACTCATTTTTGTCATGCAGGTTGGTTTAATCATAGGCAGGGGCGGAGAGACTATTAGGAATCTGCAGACAAGATCTGGTGCACGCATCCAGGTACCTCACATAAACATGACTGATGAATGTACTGATTAAGCATATTTTATTCTGATAACTTGCATCTCCAATAAAATAACAGTTTTCTTATCTGTACCTCTAATTGTTGCTTGTAGTTGATACCACAAAATCTTCCTGGGGATCAATCTAAAGAGAAAAAGGTGAAAGTTACTGGTGACAAGAAACAATTGGAAATGGCCCGGGAACTCATAAAGGAAGTTATGAATCAGGTATTTATGGCCATAATCTAAATATTTTGTTTACATAATTATTTAGGAGCTGCTATCTTTGTTTTGGGTGTTTTTGGTTCAATAACTTAGGTTCGAGTGTGCTTTCTGTTCTGTCTCCATTTCTACATTATTATGATTTATGAGCTAAGATTATGTATTTATGTATGTGCTGGCACTTCTGATACAAGTGTTTCATATTGATTTAGGTTAGCATGTCACTCTTGAACCTGTTATTCTTGTTGGCCCAAAACAATAGTTTTCTATTAACACAATGAATTGTTGTGGCGGCTTCCTTTAATGTGGTGAATGTCACAAAGTTTTATTGATTGTGGAGTCTAATTCTAACGTTCAGTTGATGTATCTGTTTTAGTAGTTATTGGAACATATGCTTCGGTACTGATGCACCCTTAGGCTCGTGTTTGTTCATTTGAGAGAAGCTGGGCTTTAAATTTCTTTTTGCTTTTTACACTTAAAGGATGTCATACTGTGTAGCCTATATAAGCTGACAACTTGACATCAATTGCCTCTGATTTAACCCTGCTTAACATGCTCACTTTCTTCCTTTTGCCAACTATGATGATACATCTTGCTGGTCGATCCAGTTTTCATCAAGAGATACACCTGTTCTTATCTAAATATAAAAGATATCTGAAAGTACATCTTAATTGTAGAAACAATCCTTTTGGCATCGTATTTGTTCTCTGTATGTATACTTGCATTATCCAGGGATAATCCATTGTTTTTGACCTAATGATCTATCTGTAGTCTCTCATCTACATTCAAGTATAGTTTCCAAAAATTCTTTCTTGGGGTTTTAATTCGAATTAATCTAGAAGATTTGCCTCTGCAAGAGCCTATTGCTACATCTAGTATTATACTCAGTTTGAAAACTACCATACAAGTAAAAACCTTCTCTTATGAATTTATTATGATTGTTGTAGTGCTGTAGTACTCTTAATCCAATATGTTGCTTTCTTAGAAGCTTCTAAGTCTTGTATGAGATTTCGTAAGTTGTTGCTTTTGAAGCTGCTTCATTTTTTTTGTTATGTGGGAGAATGTTAACTTTGCTATGAAGAGGTTGCATTTGTTTGTGATGGGTAGCATACATATCTTAGTTGGCACTTGGATAGCTGACTTGTTGATCCTTCATTGGGAGAGAGGGGGGGGGGGGGGGGGTGTTCACTATGCAGTAGTTTATCCTGACTAGAGAGAGAGATCTATATGGGTGAGATTTATGAGAGTTCTGCAAAAATGATACATAATCCATGCCAAGATCACTTGATGCAACTGGAAAAATCTTGTATTCCATTCATATGTTAAAAAGTTCCGACTGCGAACTGGTTGGCTTTAAAAATGCAGATATGGCTATTGCCTTCCAAATGCGGTCAGCATTCGTATCTTGGTGTATCAGTAGGCAACCAAATTTCAGTGTCATCCACCGAAGAGAGGTATCAGGCGTTAAGTCTCGCCATTGCTGGATTTTACTAGTTGGTAAGATTGCTTTGAGACTTAGAAACTGGAAACAATGATTTTTACCAAGAGAATGTTATGTAGACCTCAGTGTACTATGGTGCCACATGTACTAAAACATGTATTAATAGAAAGCAATTCTGACTGATGATCTTCCTGTTTGTATGGATGAGAGTTTTGAAATACAAGTTCCATTATATATGAAAGATCGGAATGTTTCACCTGTTATCTTTTCACTTTTCCTTTTCTCAGATTGTGGATGCATGTAATCTATCATATGTATCAGACAAATACTTGAAGAATGCAAGGCATGCAGATTTTAGTGTATAGAAATGTATTTTCTTTTTAATTATTTCCTCTATGTTTGGGCCCAGCTTGCTGCTATCACTGCTCTGAATGAATCTCTGATTTTCTGCTAGTATTGTTCATGCCTTCATCATAGTAAGTTACTCAAAGGTGATAAGCAGTGGAGAACACGTCTACTTATTTCAACTCCTGTTGCGTTGATATTTTCATGGTTTAGTCTCACGGATGTCAGAGCTTGTCAGTATGCTACAACTGATAGTTGTTTATGTATCGATTATTTGCGTATTCTTGTATATGGAGGGTTCTTTTGAGAAATTCAGTTATGAAGGCATGCCATTGCATGCTTTTTTTGGTATCTTGTGTTTTTACTTTTCATGCTATAAGATATAGATAATTATTGTAGGTTAAACCTTTTCCTGTCCAGGTGATTTTCATTCCTGTTAAGTTTCTTGTATTCTGCCATTGCTGTTGCTGCATGCTCTTTAGTTTCCGATTCTGGGATGTGACCTATTTTATTGTGATTATTTATTTTCAGTTCTGATATCACTTGGCAATTTGCTATTATTATGGGTTTTAAGCAATTTTTGTCACTGTATATATATTAAGACCTTGATTTTATGAATATATAAACTATTAATTCTTTCTTCTCAATTTTCCTAGATGCCTGGGAGGCCATCACAATTCTCTAGCAATAGCTATAGCCAGCAGGGTTATCGTCCTCGTGTACCTGGCGGTGGTCCTCAATGGGGTGGCCGTGGCCCTCATGGCGGTCAGTCAATGCCATATGACTATCACCAGCGAGGTCCTTATCCTTCTCAAAATCAGCAATACCCACCTCAGCCTTATGGAAATTATCCTCCACAGGGCCCTCCAAGAAGTGGCTTTGGTTCTTGGGAGCAAAGACCACCAGCTCAAGGACCACCTTCTCATAGCGGTGGATATGATTATTACGGACAAGGAGGACATGGAGCAAATGCTCCGGCGTCTGCTCCACACTCGACACACATGCCAGGTCATCATGCATCTGGCCCACCTTCGATGGCACCTCCTCATTCTCAAGCAAATTACAATTACCCCCAGCCTCGAGGTGCAGAATATGCTCACCCTACTCCTTACTCCCAAACTGCACCACCTGCTCAAAGTTACGGTCATGGGTATGGAGAGCCAAAGTATGATGCACAGGCACCAATGCAGCAGCAGCAACCTTATGCTGGACAAGGGTATGCACCACAACAAGGCTATGCACCTCAACAGCAATACAATAGGCCACCACCCTACGGCATGCCATCACAGGGTGCCCCCCCTCAGGGTTATGCCCCTCCAGCCGCAAGTCAGCCTGCAGTAGATACACCTTACCAAGCTCCTGTTTCTGCAGCTCAGCCTTATGCTCAAAACTTGCCTCCACAGCAGCAATATCCACAAGCACCTTATGGTTCTGCTCCTGTAGCAAACGATGGCTATAGTCAACCCCAACCTGCTGCAGCAGGTTACCCTCAGCAAGCGGCCCAGCCTGTTCCTGCTTATGGGCAACAAGCCACTGGTTATGCTCAAACTGCTGGATCAACCACCGGTTATGGTCAATATCCACCAACTGCACAAGCGAGCTACAATGATCAAGCTGCAGCTGCAGCTGCTAGTGCCGCAACCTATGGGTATCAGGGCCAAGTAGATCCATCAGCTTATGCTGCAGCGGCGGGACAACAAGCCTACAGTGCGACACCTGCAGTGGCACAAGGCTATGCTCAACCAGCTCCAACTCAAACTGGTTATGACCAGTCAGCAGTGGCCCCTCAATCTGGTGGTTATGCTACCGCTCCTGTTGCTTATGGAAAAACCCTGTCACCCCAGCCTCAGCCTGGCTATCCACAGTATGATGCATCCCAGCAGGTGTACACTGCACCTCGATAATTTAATATATAAAACTGTGATGATGCTGATTCGATGTAAGGAAGCATTTGCTGATCCTGTCAATTACAGTTAGTTGTAGTTTTCTGCCGTTGAGAGGACTCGTAGTATTCGCTAGTAAGTAGAGTTTATGAGAAACTGGCAATTTTGTGTTCTTTCATTAGCTAGATATTAGGGATGTTGGAACCTGAAACCCATTTGACAAAATCAAACTAACTTCTATGTGCAAGTGTTTTTCATTTTCTTTACCCAAGAGATTAAATTCCGATATTACTACTGGTTTTTTTTTTTTTTTTTTTTTTTTCCACTCAAAGACCCGGTTAGTGGCAAAGGGAGAGCAGCGCATCTCACTTGTTTTATACGAGAGTGGCTTGGGTGATATGTTGTGCGCTGGGAAGCGTCGTGGAACTAACCTAGCAGTGCCAAAACGGGGCGGTTGTGGCTTAGGTGGGGGGAGTTTGTCACGAGTTGGTAGTTGCCCTATTGCCCTGACACAAGTCCCATATGAAGCATTTTGAACTTTCCTATGCCCGTGTGTGGCCTTGAGGAGATTTAGGAGCCGCACGGGGCTATATTTTAGGCAATATTTTTTCGTAATTTTAAATGAATAAGTAGTTAGTAATATTGAACAAAATAACTTGTGAGATTGTAACATCAACAATATTTTTTAATAGTTCTTTAGTTTGCAGAATGACATTTCTTACCGCCGAGTCATCTTTTCATGCTTTGAACATTATGTACTAAAGTTCAATCGACATTAGTTACATTAAACCAAGATTTTTAGACTGAAGTATATGATTTCTACGGAGTATCTATTTTATGATACTCTTTACTTCCTCTGTTATGTTTAATCTTTTCACTAAGACTTCTTAGGTTCTCTAACACAATTTTAATCATGAATATTTTTATTATACGAAGTATTTGTGAACTTCTATACAAATTGTTATTTTTTTAAATAAATCATTAAAGGATATTTTGTTTTATACATTAGTATAATAATAAGATCGGAGTGAAATATGTTAATAGTGGAAAAAGATTGGAGTGAAATATGTTAATAGTGAAATATGTTAATAAGATCGGAGTGAAATATGTTAATAATAATAAGGGGAAAAAAAATTGAGTATTTGTAAAATATTAGCATTCTGTTCTTTTTATCTCTACCTCTTCCTTTTACCTTTTCTTTTCGTCTTTCCTTGACAAGTTTTTAGTCTTTGTTGCTTGGAAAGGCAAGCTAGATAAAAGTGAAGTCCCGTTCACTTTGTTTCATGTTTCCCTCTTTTCAACGTTAGTTAAGAATTTTGGTCTCCTAATTCAGGATTTTGATAGGTACGTTACTAAGCAAAAGCCCATAAATACTGTTTAATGGGTACACCCAATCTAATACTCTGTATCACGGCTACTTATCGATAACGGTTATAATACATTCATATACTCCGTAATCCCGTATGCATTAAACATGAAATACTAGTACATTTCTCGTATTTAATGAATGCAAAACAAACAAATTTACGGAATGCTATATTTTTGGATATGTACTCCGTAATACCAATGCTTATTACGGAATAACAAACTAACTGCCAACAACTAACAACTATGAAAATATCTAGTTTGATCGGAATACCCTAAGTAGACCCAAAAAAAAAAAAAAAAAAAAAAAGGCAAGGATAAAGTCAATTTCTTGTAGGAAAGTAAACAGCATCTGGGTGAGGTAAGCTTGCTTAATTGCTTGGATGTGAGGTAAGCTAGCTATTTTTAGTAGTCAACCTACATCTAGATTGATTGATTTCCCAACTCCCGCACTAAGAAAGTCTCTTAAATTGATCGTGTGATGTCTTCTTCATAGTCAAAATTATTAAATAAGGTCATTTTCTTTTAATCAATAATTTAGATTAGTACTTCATACTAATTCTTTCAAAGTTTGATAGGACATTAACACGTATAAGTAAATGCAATACTCATATCCCGTCAAAAAAATAAAATAAATGCAATGCTCATATAATTGTAGAACTGCGTAGCATATTTACAATCAGACGATGTAAGTCAAGTCATTTATGCTAAAGCTTTGTATAAACAAAAGACTAAAAGAAGAAATGTTAAAAAAAAATGAGCATGTCATTCGTTCTCTTATAAAATCTCAACTTAATATCAATTTGAAGACTTTACTGCTTATATGTTCTTTTTTAATTAACTAGATATTTATTCAATAATAAGTTATTAGACATATATATCAAATTTTGGTTGAACTTATGATGTAATAAACTCACTCAATACTCTGTGAACTTAAAATTTCCAAACTTTGACAAGGGCTCTCCAATCAATCAATGTAATGTACTAATCATACACCAATTTACTATTTGAAGATAACACAAGCAAGAATATAGCAACTGAATTTTAGGGGAGAAACATGAAGCATGGGGAGGGTCGTTTCTAGAATTCTAGTTTAGTATTAGCTAGGACTATTTGGTAGGTTTAGGCTACAAGAATCATGTATGCTAAATTGCTAAGTTATTCTTCTTGTCCAATTGACATTTTCTCTTTGCAATTATATTCCCCAAAATCTATAATGTTATTCTAACGATAGATGTCAATTGATTTGATTGGCCAATTATATAAACCTTGTATGTGCTACATTAATTTGTACGAAGTTTACAATGCTGTATATGTTTTGAATTAGTCTAATTCCTCTATTTTTGTAATAATTGTATATACTTACTTCTCAATCAAAGTTCTTAAACTTTGCATTACATCCATAAAATTGATTTTAGAATGAATAAGAGTTAATATACCAATATTAAGCGATGAATTACCAATAAGATAATTAATATGGAGAATTGAAGTGCTTTTTCTTCTTTAGAACAAGGGCTTCAACCCAATTTGATTCAAATTGGCAAAGTTTGATTGAAAATGTTGTGAGATAAAATAAAGTCAAGATAAGTTTATCAAATAAATTCAAAAATTTTAAAAGCCAATTCAATCTGATAAAGATTAAAGAGATGGTGCACCACATGTGCCTTGAGGACATTTATACTAAATTATGAATGCACCTTGAGCCTGCCTTGAGGTATTATTAGTAACTTTTGCAATTGTCTTGTGCTTAAAATTAATTCAAACACACACAAAATTGACTCAAATTCTAACATAGTTTATGTGAAACTCGAACACAAATTAATTTAATTGGACCACTACTCCATATTTACTACGGAGTAAGTACTAATCAATTTACTAATTACATTTATGTCAAACTTCGCAAGAAAAGTCAATTTCTTTTCATTGCGTTCCAATCTATGCCATCAGTACATATATAAATAGGTCATGACATGATTAATTAACCACAAGATAATCTCGAATTATAATTATGGATGATATGTGACACCAAATGGACATATTTCTATCATTTCAACCCACCTAACCATCTAATCACATAAGATAAATAATTAGGTTTATTGAATGATTATGTGTCACTTTTTGGACCTGTATCATTCACCTTTACTCCTAGGACATATCATAAGTAGTACACTAAGATAATTTTAATATTTGAAGTCTGAACGATGATTGTTTCGCGAAAATAATCAAAATAAGAACTTTAAGAGACAGAGTAATTGATAATTATCAAAGTTGTGTATTGATCAAGATGTTATTCAAATACATACTATATAAATTAAATATAGAGAAATTGTACTCGTATGTTAGAATATTAGACTATATAAAAAATATTTAGATTATCTAATCACATTAAATCTTCTTACTTTCATTTACGGAGTACTTATCTTTTAAAAAAGTGAATGTTTATGTATTTGGATAATGCACATTGAAACGAATCTAACTTGACACCATACCACTCGAAAAAGTTTTTAAATACAATCACAGAATTACGGTCGAAGTTAAGTCAAATCATGACATCAATCAAACCAAAAGAATTTAGACCATATCAAATCATACCTTAATAAAATTAGAATAAAATAGTACAGTACTTCACAGTTCAGGTGAAGAAAACAAATCCGAAGTAAAACACGTTTTTGGAGAAGAGTTTTGAATATTAGCCCAAAATGTAAAAGCGGTTATGTCACATTCCATCCAATTACACATCACCTCAAAGTTGAACCATTCAAATACAGATTCACTGTACACAACTAACAAATTCATAATGTATGTAGTAGGACTATGATTTTGATAATATAAATATATTTCTTCTTATACAAAATACAGATGAAAAAATATCTATGTAAAATTATCAATGACCGTAAGGTTTAAGTTTAATGATGTTGATGTCAATCGCTTTCTAGTTTTATATGAAAAATTATATTGAAAGGTACACATTAGAGGAAGAAAATATGACTTCACTTTCAAAAATAAGGGGGAAGGGGGTGTTTTAATAGAGAAAATGCGAGCTACGTCTCTTAATAATTTCAATATTATTATACCTACTCACCAAGTTTTATTTTTTCTTTTGATAAATGCCAAGTTTAATGACAATGAAAAAGGACACGTTAATTTAAAAACTTGTTATATCAAGGGAGTAATATATTGTTTATATTGTTCAATTAATGATAGATAATTAAAAGCTATATTATAAAGAAAATTCATTACTAAATATTTACTTATTTACTACTCGTATTTTGTACTTGTTAGTTGATGGGATTAGGTATCGCCTACTTATTCAAGATGCTCCCACTAGCAAGCTAGACACCTTGAGAATGGGTGAGGGTTAGAAAATACGAACTTTGCCCTGAAGTTGTCTGGTTTGTCTCTAATAAAACTCGATCACGTGACCTCAAGGTCAAGATAAGACAAGATAGGTAAACTATTTTTATTTTATTTATTTATTTTTTTAAAAAAAAAAAAAACGTGATCAGATGTTCCTAATAAGAAAGTTGTATGAGCTAATACAGTCACATTAAGTGGTTGTTTGGCTGACATATAAATACATGAGAAGAAAATAGTTGTTTTTAGTTATAAAAAATGTGCATTTAAGATCGTGCAATAATCAAAATGAGATTAAACTTTGAAAAACAAAGAGGATACTTATATAAGATGCTTATAGGTTTGTAGTCGAACTTCACTTAGCTTCCTCATTGATTTGAGTCATTTGACAAAACCAGCACATGGATCTTCAAAGAAGAGAAACAGATAGATAAGGGAGAAAAAGCGGGAAAAAAAATTAACAAACACATGGGGCTGATCAACATTGATATTATTTTAATTCAACATAGCTATTATCCATTAATTCATGCTGAAATTGATGAGACTGTAAAG